CGAGCCTAGCAGCCATGTGTGGGCCACATGGCCCACCTCACGAAGGGTCTGACCTGACAGAGTTGGAGTAAGGGCGAGCAGGCACACACTATGCCGGCCTTTGGGATGCTTTGGCATGAAAAGCTCTTCTATATGAACAACTTAGGCCAGATGCTCATTCTTGGGGATGTGGGTAAGAAATATAAAGATCGACAAGGGAGAAAGCAGACCCTGAACAGATGCGCAGCAGGACCATGAGGTACAGTGAGGGCCAGGTGGGGCTGACAGTTATGAGGGAACCAGAGCCAAGGATCCAGCAGAACCTGTGAGGTAGGGGGAGAAGCGACATAAAGAGCAGGGGGTAAGGAAGGCTGCTGGCAGCTGAATGGTAAGTGGACAGCGAAGTAAACTCCAGGCAGAGAGGGCAAGGCCTGCTAACAGCAGAACAAGCACGAACAGCCAAGGACTCCCACCCCTACGGACCACTAGGCTACTCCTTGGCTTCCATTTCTTGGATTCCCATGAGAACCCTATCCCATCCTCCTTTTCAAGAAAAATTAAGCTGACAAAGAGAGTTCCTATTCCCTAAAACCTAAAAGGCTTTAGGACAAAGGGAGAGGGCCATACGAACATTGTGTAACCCACACACAGTGCAGTCCTTCCACTGGCTTGCACTAAGTGTGCTAACCCAGCCTCATCTCTTTCTGCTTGCTTTTCATCGTATGTTTTAAGTTGATTTAATAAGCCAAGTGAATTGAGCATCTTTAAAAACATGAACCTTTATGATATTCATGGTAAGTATCACACATTCGAACATTTCAAGTGTTTTTAAATCTCTTCACCAGGTTTCAACCTGGAGGGCTAGAGCCACATCAGATACTCCTTTATCCCACCGACAGCCCCTAGCAGGTACATCACAGATACTAAAAAGCAGCGTGAGTTCCATTTACTGATAGGCTCAAGTAAGTCAGGTGTATGTCTTATATTGTAAGAGATGTGGAAACACTGCTCTATGATGTCCTTAATGAAAGAAAATCTATGAGTTCACTTTCATATTTTAAAGTCTGAGGTCTATCAAAAGAAGTCCCTATCTGTCTTCCTATAGTTCACCTATGGTCTGATATCTATGGGAGCTCTCAAGTCTCATGTCCATTAAGTGAGTATTTCAACGACAGATAAGGGCACCTGGAAGGAGTAGATGACATTCCACACACCGTTAAGCTGAAATATTCCAAAAGAAAACTTATCCACTACAAGAAGCAAAATGATTTGATCTTCACCGCATAAACAGTGCCCTGTTCATTCAGTCATTCAGCAGATACTTCCTGAACGCCAACAATATCCCACATACTGGTCACTAGGGATACACTGATGGGCAAACAGATTATTTTTCCCAGGAAGCCTAGAGTCCAGTGAGGGAGAAAGACAAACAGGCAATCTCAAAACAGCAGGGTAAGTGCTTTGACAAGATAGGGAACCTTAGAGCTTTGCTACTCGACATGTGGTCCCCACACCACCCACATCAGCATCACCTAGGGACTCGTTACAAATACAGACACTAAGGCCTCACTTCACACCTAGTGAATCAGAAAGTCTGAGGGAGGGGGCAGGAATCTGTGATTTAACAAGCCCTCAGGGTGATTCAAAGCACACCCAAGTCTGAGAAGCAAAGCTGCAAGGACATGCAGAGCACAGCTGGCAAAAGGAACAGCATTTGCAAAGACACCAAACCATAACAGAAAATGGACATCTCCTGAAAGGAGTTCCCTCAGGCTACATATAGATAGATATGCAGCTGGTGCGGTGGAGATGTTGGTGGGGTGCCTCAAGATGGTTCAGACAGAAAGCAGGGCCCAGGTCATGGAGGCTCAGGTACACCAAGTTAAGGGGTTTAGACTGTATCTAGAGGACAATGGCACAGGTAAATATTAAATAGGACAGTCAAATAATTATATTT